GGGGGTAATAGGACCTTAGTAAATGTTAGGTGTGTCTCAGGGATTTTGGGCATAGGCTGGAGGGGTACTTATGCATTTTCCCAAAAAAAAATACATCTAGTAAGAAAATAGTATATAGGGAAAATGCATAAGTACCCCCTCAGCCTATACCCAAAATCCCTGAGACATACCTAACCTTTACTAAGGTCCTATTACCCCCCCCGAACTTATTTTTTTAAGTAATTTTTGTACCCCTTTTTGGCCTACGTGGCTGAGTTCGTGACTTCACCTATGTTAGGCGCGTGGGTGCAGTTTTTAGACAACACTGACCAATAAAAATTGTCCACGTGTTAAAATAAACTTGAAAAAAAATAAACATTAACTCAATTGTCTTCTTCTTTATCAATGTTCTTCATCTTTGAAAAAAAAAACCTCCATTACCATTCAAGTTAAATTGTTCCTTGCTTTGAAAAGTTCCGACGAAAAGTTTCAAAAACAAGACTCCTAGACTCGAAACTCTTAACTTAGTAACTACAGAAATTGATTTTCTTTTTTAAGAATCCATATCACTGTATTTTTTTTGTTCCCAACCTCTTTCTTTTGACTATTTTTCAGTAATAAATCAGTGTCCTTTAAACGCTGAAGGAGGGAAGTATGTATAGGGAAAAATTGGAGCAGATTAGGGGGGGAAATCGAGTGAAAATTCAAAGAAAAATTTGAATTTCTTGTCTCTTTTCCAAGGCCAACAGTGAAAGGATGAGCAATTTCTAAAAAAGGGGAAAGGGGATGGGGACACGTCTGCTGCAAAAAAGGAGGACGACGCATACGACGGACACTGTTGGCACCGTTGCTGATGTTGACGGGTCGGAGTCGTACTTTTTCCAAGTTTTCTGGATTATTTCGTGTGAAGAAGACGAGGGCAAGTACAGGGGTGGGGTCGTTTGGTACTAGTAGCACCCTTTCCTAGGTTGGCGTGTTTCTTTTTCTAATTTTTCGCGTTGGAGAAGAAGGACATAGGTCGGGTATCGGGTTTATTGTTGTTGTACGCTGGAAAGTAAATGAGTTTGGGTTTATTGGAGAAATATTGTATTGTTGGTGGGCTGTATGTTGTTGTATTCACTACAAAAAATATGATAGTATATAACTATGATAGTTGAAAAAGTGGGGCTCAGCGCGTGTTGAACAAAGCTTTCAACCTATTTGGACATAGGTCGAAAAGTGGTACAAAATTACTTAAAAAATAAGTTCGGGGGGGGGGGGATAATAGGACCTTAGTAAAGGTTAGGTGTGTCTCAGGGATTTTAGGTATAGGCTGAGGGGATACTTATGCATTTTCCCTAGTATATATAACATAAACTTAAATATATGGAGTAATATTGTTTATTATAGAGTTTGGTATACATTGAATTACTTTATGATGCAACTCAAGCTTCATCAAGACCTTGCACACAAAATCGAGCTAGGGAGTTCAAGGGTTAATTATTCATTTTTATTTTTCAGGTTATTATTTATCCACTTTTTATAAAGGATTATCAATAATCATTATGCTACTAGTAGTGCATAGAAATTAAATTATAAATACCTGTAAGCACTTATAATAGGTTGTTCCAGGAGAGTATATAGGGAAAGAAACTAATCCCTTTATAAAGGCTACAAAATTCTCACACACATTTTCTGTAAAATTCTCAGAATCATAGCTGATAAGTTTCTTTCTAGTTATATCAAATATTATCTGTAAAAAAAATTAAAAAATATTATGCTTCGAATTCATTTTTATTTTCAAAAAGTTCAAAAATCTGAACTCATAAATGATAAGTCCTAAATTCACTTACGTATAGTTCTAATTAAATGGGGAATTTAGAGGGTTCATTTCGTGGATAGTCAGTACTCAACTTTAGTACTAGTTTTAGGGGTCTGCTAAAAGGTGTGTATGTTATCAAATTTCAGTTGAAGTTTTCAAACTTTGATAATTATTTTGTTGTATCTAAATCATAGATATCAAAGTCTGATATTTATATATGTTTTTTCTAATAGGAGATAGAGGAAAATAGAAATATGGTTTCAAGAGTTAATGGTCACAAATACATATACATTATCACTTTTCATTAATTTCATATGTCAATTGTCCGTTGTTTCCTTTACCTATTTAAACGATTACCCCATTTATATTAAAACACGCATCGGCGCTAAGTTAGTTAAATATTTAAAATCAATCAATAATGGATGCGTGAAGGTCAACTCAACATCAACAAGTGTTTTAATACAAAAATAAAAAAATAGTTTAGGTACCTAGGAAATGGAAATATGAATCTCACAAAAATACAATAGTTTATGTGTTGTATACCATTAACTCTACTTTTAATCAAGATTCCTTGGAAGAAGTCTTCCATTAATTTATTTAACGTAACGAAATACATGGAATTAAGTCGAGTGACCATCTGTGAAATTACCCTGAAATTTAGATTACTTACCTTGGCTGTTGCTTCCTTCATCTCAACACTCTTTTGTTTTGACCATCTCTTCAGGTTATTATTTGTAGTTTTTTCAACCTCAGGGAGCATTTTCCCCAAACTTTCAGGGCAAAAAAGAGTTAGCACCATGTTTTTCAAGTACTTGTACATAAAACCATGTAAAGATCCAACATTTTGCCTTCCCATAATCTCTGCAAAAGATACCAACTTTGAAATAATTTTCCCTCTTGTTGGAAGATGAAGTAATTAAAATCAGGGTCTGTGGATACTATGATTGGATGTCCCACCAAACTAGTTCGAAATATCGGTCCATACCTGATTTAGAATTTAGATATTGTGAGTTTTTAGCTGAGAGATCAGTGGGCTGTGAATAGTGGTGTAAATAAGAATTTTCATTAAGGGAATTCAAAATATGAAGAAGTAAGTACACACAGAAGTCAAAGAAGATTCAACATCTACTATATATACATAAAAAATAATTTTAACAATGTATAGACAGAATTAATCTTTTACCAAAAGGGGTTTGAATGAACCCGCCTTACTAGCTCCGCCCCCAAATATTGTGAAACGTATATTTAATTCTATTGTAAAGTTTAATCATTATAGATGATTGATTATTATAAAGAGTACTGGCAATAATAGTAATAATTCTCTTCCTTTCAATTTATTTGTCATATTTTTCTTTTTAGCCCGTTTAAAAAAGAATGTCTTTTTTTTTTTTGACAGCTCTTTAACTTCAACTTTCTGCATGACATGTTTAAAACCACAAAATTAAAGGACATTTTGGTATATTTAACATACCTTTAATTTAATCTCATTCAAAAATCGTTTTTACTTTTTTAAACATTACTTCAAGTCAAAACATGACAGACAAATTAAAACAGAGGGAGTAAAAACTTTAAATAAGTTAATTACCTTTGCATCCTCTCCTTCACAAAAGGAGAAATATCCAATGATGTATTTGGTGCAAAGAATGGAATAGTCTCACCAAGTAATGGCCAACCCATTGAACCTGGTGGGAGTTTTCCATTGCTTTTAGGGTTCCTCCAGTAACTTATAATGGCTATAACAAGTAAAGATCCAATAATATAAATACCAAGTGACAACATTTTATTGATAATATATAGTGTATGTAGTAGATTAAAGAGAAGGAAATGGTTTATAATTTTAGGAAATTATGGGAGACTATAAATAGGCAGTTGAATAATGTAGTCCATATATATCTGAAATAGTTTAATTTTATCCTCCTTTTAAGTTTTTGGTCTATTCGTGTTATAACAAATTATTTTATTTATTTCAGAGTCGCAATTTAGAATTGATTGATGATATTTTAAGTCACCTTGTT